TATAAATATATTAAAAAGTAAGGGTCCCAACACTGAACCTTGGGGTACATGACTGACGACCCTAGACCATTCAGAGTATGAATCATTAACCACTATTTGAATACGATCTTTTAGCCAGGTTTCTATCCATTTACGTACAGATTTTTCCAAGCCTGTAGATTTTACCTTACACATTAGCCATGTGTGGGGGAACTGTGTCTATCAATTTTGCAAAATCCATGTATACCACATCCACCGCCACCCCTCTGTCCAAGTATACTACGTCCACCGCCACCCCTCTGTCCAAGCATACCATGTCCACCGCCACCCCTCTGTCCAAGGTTTTGCTCACCTCCTCATAAAAAGAAATCAAATTTGTTTTGACAACCTCTGTCTTTTATGAATCCATGCTGTCTGTTGCTTAAAATATTTTTTTCCAGCAAGAACTCATCTATGTGGTCTCTTATTAAACTCTCCAGTATCTTCCAAACTATAGAAGTTAAAGTAACAGGTCTATAATTACTTGGTAAAGATTGTGACCCCTTTTTAAATATTGGCACCACGTTGGCCTTACGCCAATCCAGTGGTACTATGCCAGTCATTAAAGAGTCCCTAAAAATGAGAAACAATGGCTTTGAAATGACAGAGCTCAATTCTTTAAGGACACGTGGGGTGTATGCCATCTGGTCCAGGTGCTTTACTCACCTTTATTCTGTCTAAATATTTTTGGATCATATCAATTGTGAGCCAAGGTGGATCAAATTTAGCTGTGTCAATACCATGCCCATTATGGACAAGAGCCCCCACATGTTCCTTTGTATACACAGAGCTGAAGAAGGTATTAAATACATTTGCCTTCTCTTTGTCCCTAGTCATCCACTCTATATTGTTTTGTAAAGGGCCTACATACTCAGACCGGACCTTTTTACTATTAACATATTTGAATAATTTTTTGAGGTTGGTCCTGCTATCTTTTGCAATCTGTCATTTGTTTTCAATTTTTGTGGCCTTTATTTCCTTTTTGCATATTCTGTTATATTCTTTGTAATGCTTAAGCAACTCTAGCGTTCCTTCATTTTTATATTTAATAAAAGCTCTTTTCTTATTATCTATAGTTTTTTTAACTTTGGCCGTAAGCCACATAGGTTTGATTTTTAACCTTTTAAACTTGTTATTTTGCAGTATGTTCACATACAGTCTTTTTGAAGAACTCCCATTTCTGTGTTCATCGATGCCAATATTCCCTCCCAGTGTAAGTCTTGTAGAGCAACTCTCAGCCTTGAAAAATTAGCTCTCTTGAAATTGAGCTTTTATTTTTCCCGTATGTGCTCGCTGTTTACATCTAACAATAAATGAAATCATGTTATGGTCACTGCTACCCAGATGTCCTTTTATATGGACATTCATAATAAGCTCTGCATGGTTTTAGATTACCAGGTCCAGCAGAGTATCATTCCTAGTAGGTGCCTCAATGAACTGTACCATAAAATTTTTCTTTAGTAGGTTTAAAAAATGTTGCCCTTTAACTGTTCCTGCAGTACTATTACTCCAGTCAGTTTCTGGGTGGTTAAAATCCCCCATTATTATCACTGTCCCAGCCCTTGCAGCCCTTTCAATCTGTGCAAAGAGCTGAGTTTCCACCTCCTCATTAACACTGGGAGGCCTATAATAAACTCCAGTGATTACCTTTGTAGTACGCACCCCCATGTGCAGTTCCACCCATACTAATAATTTAGCCTCATCACACTTTCCATCAACTAGGTCTTCTTTCACACTCGCTCTGAGATCACTTCTCACATAGAGACAGAGACCACCACCTTTCCTATTTACCCTGTCTCTCCGAAAGAGAACATAGCCAGGAATATTAATGGCCAAGCCATGTGAAGAATGAAGCCAAGATTCAGCAATACCAATTAAATCATAGTTTTCTTTATGCACCAAAGCTTCCAACCCACCTATTTAACTTGGCAGACTTCTGGCATTGGTGAACAAACACTTTAATGCATTGACACCTTGTTCACACGTATTTTGCAAATTTTTTTATTTTCATACAAATGGTACCAATTCCACTGGTTGTTTGTAACATGGGAACCTTCTTAGCATCTGCTATAGCCTTCACCCCATCTTTCCCCATTCCACTCACCAATAAGTATTGACCTCTGTCTGATCTGTCTACCCCATTATAATCTAATTCTCCCTCCCCCCTCGATCCTAGTTTAAATACTCCTCTAGCCTTCCCATAAACCTCACCCCTAGCACAGCAGACCCCCTTCCATTTAGGTGCAGACCATCTCTAGCATATAGGTTGCACCCCAATGAAAAGTCAGCCCAGTGCTCTAGAAACCCAAATCCTAACCTCTTACACCAGATCTTCAGCCATGCATTGAGTTCTCTAATCTCCCCCTGTCTTTTCTGAGTTGTGCAAAGCACAGGTAATATATTTCAGAGAATATCACCTTGGAAGTCCTTCCCTTCAACTTGCAGCCTAGTTCTTTAAATTGATTCTTAAGGAGCCTCTACCTTCCATGTATTCTGTCATTGGTTCCAACATGAACCAAGACAACTGGGTCATGCCCAGCCCCTCCCAGAAATTTATCAACCCGGTCCACCACATGCTGAACCCTGGCACCAGGGAGACAGCAAACCATTCGGTTGAGGAGATCCTGGCGACAAATTATTCTATCAGTCCTTCTTATAGAATCCCCTACTACACTAACTGTCTAGGCCTTCCTGCACTATCCTCACTACCCCTCCCAGATGGTCTGCCCTCCAGGCTGTTAGGGATGGCAGTGACATCCAGGGCTGCCACCCCTGAGCTTGCCACCCCCCACATCTTCACCCAACGTGGGAAATCTGTTTGGGTGCTCAAACTCAAAGCCAGCCTTCCTTTTCTGTGAGCCCTACCACTCTCTCTGTTACAGTAACCCATCTTCCTACCTGATAATCCTGATTAGCCACTCCACCCTCCACATCAATCCCATTAGCTACCTTCTCAGAGAGCAGAAGACCCCTTTCAAGGTTGTCAGTTCTGCCCAATGTTGCTGATTGCTCCTCCAGATCTCTAATGCGAGTTTCCAAATGGGTAAGCTGCTCACATCTGTCACAGCGGTATCCATCCTGAAGTTTTTGCTCCATTGCTGCATACATGCGGCACACTGTGCACTGCACAAAACCCTCAACCCTGCTAGCACACATTATCCCAGTTACAATATTAACAGGAAAGATCAGTTGTCACTTATAGGTTAGTAGACTCCTGTTATAATCTCCTGTTTTCCACTCCTGGTTTTTTTAACTCCACTTGGCAAATGCCCACTTGGTCAAAGGTCCAGCAAGCAAAATACAGGCAAGCTCAGAGTAAGCTCTACAGCAAGCTATATAGGACCTGTATCACCTGTGATCAATTAACCCCTCCCCTTAATTAGCAGACTGAAGGAAGACAAGGAAAGGAAGAAAAAAATGGTATCACAATTGTCATTTTCACATGTAGGCACCCTGACGTGTGCATGTACATGTGTATGTGGGGGCCCTCAACATTTTTTTTTGGGGGGAGGGATACTATTTGCTTAGGTGTAACAATTTTTTTGCAATAAAAATGTTACTTAACTAATCACATGTCACCCATCATGTGTCACATCACATGACCTCACACGTCACCTTCCAGGTCACAGAAAGAAGGGAAGGAGAGCGTCCCGCTCTCTCCTCCACCTGCATCCGCCATGTCGCTCCCCAGGCCTGCAGATGGGCAAGCGGTGCCCGGATACATATCGGGAGCATGCATGGGGGGGGGGAGGCTCAGTACTGGGGGCTGTGGAAGCGATCAGGTGGTAGCACAGCCACCCGACTGCTTCCATCTGACAGCCAGGAGTCTGCTTGTTAGTTTTATATACAATCCTAGTGGCTGCAGACACCAGTGACACCAGATTGTGTCTAAAACCCCCCACGATCAGGTCCATATGATGTACGTACCTGGTGGCAAAAGGGTTAACAGAAACATATATAGGAAAAAACACACACATATATATATATATATATATAATACTAGGTCATTTAACTAAGAGATGAATAATAATGTTTTTGTTAAAATAACTCATGCGGTGTTTATCTCAAAAGTAGTCAATTCCCTTAAAAAAAATGTGTTATTTACAGAATGCTGTAAATATTTATGTTTTGCAATATTTATCACCTTAATTTTGTGTTATTTTTGGCAATTTTTGTTTTATACGCTAACACTGCATAAGAGGAGGAAATAAATGTACACAGAAATATTATAAAACAATGAAAACATTCTAGTGTGCTTTCATTCACACAACGATCTCCCTCTGGTGAAATGTTACAATTTATTTCAATTCCTGAGCCCAGGACAGAACATTTCTACACTGATACATTGTATACTTTTAATTTCCTGGCAAGTGCAGAGTTCCTCTCATTGTTATTTTGTACATTGCTAAAATACCAACTGCCTACTACCAGGTGCTAAATAACCAATGTGTGTGTTTTTGTGAATTGACTTTAACCACTAGCCTACCGGGCACATATACCCCCCTGCCCAGGCCACTTTCCAGCTGTCAGCACTGTTGCACTGTGAATGACAATTGCGCGGTCATGCAACACTGTACCCATATGAAATTTTAATAATTTTTTTTGTGACAGATAGAGCTTTCTTTTGGTGGTATTTAATTACCTCTGGGTTTTTTATTTTTTCTTAAACAACCCAAAAACAACTGAAAATTTTGAAAAAAAAAAAATTTTTCTTAGTTTTTGTTATAAAATTTTGTAAATAAGTGATTTTGTTCCTTCACTGATGTGCACTAATGAGGCTGCAGTGATGGGCACTGATAGGCTGCACTGATGGACACTGATAGGTGGCACTGATGAGGAGGCACTGGTAGGTGGCACGGATGGGCATTGACAGGCATCACTGATGGGCACTGAAAGGCAGCACTCATATATGGCACTGATAGGCGGCACTGACTGGCACTGATAGGTGGCACTGACTGGCACTGTTAGGTGGCACTGACTGGCACTGTTAGGCGGCACTGATAGGCAGCACTGACTGGTACTGATAGGCGGCACTGACTGGCACTGATAGGTGGCACTGATTGGCAGTACTGACTGGCATTGATAGGTGGCACTGACTGGCACTGATGGGTGACACTGAAAGGCAGCTCAGATGGGCACTGATATGTGGCATTGATGTGGCACTGATGGGCACTGGCACGTGGCATGGATGAGCACTGACAGCTGACACTGATGGACACTAACAGGTGGCACTGCTGGGGCTGCAAAGATCATCAGGGCACACTGATCATCAGTGCCCTGATGATCAGTGCACGTCTCCTCCGAGGAATGCTGGCGTGACAGCTCGTGAGGAGAGAAATGCTGATAACCAGCATTTCCCTATTTAAATGAGATCAGCTGTGATTGGACACAGCTGATCACATGACTGAGCTGAAATCTTTGGCTCTTTCCGTTGATCAGTGATCCGCTGTGTCCGAGGGACACAGCGCACCACCAATCGCCGCGCTGCGAGCATGCGCGGTTAGAATGGGAGGACACCATATGGCGTCCTCCCAGAACGAGAGAACCGCCTTGCGCCCGTCATTGTACTATATGGCAGGTGGGAGCCAGTTAAATAATTATCTTTTTTTTTGCGGTATTTGCCTTGCATTTGATATTTTGCTTTGATGAATTGACTCTTATGCAATATTTCTGAAAAATGGGTCAAGTGACCTTCATATAGCATGTGTAACCTTTAATTATAACCGTGAATTGACCCCATAGTCTCTCTCTCTCTTTCTGTCTCTGGAAACCAGCTCAGCAACACACAGGAGATTTGGCAAAACCGAACTGGAATCACATGTGATGTGAACAGATAAGCATTTCATATGCAATTTAAATTCAACTCCATGGACCTCAAAATTGGATCTCACCGCTGCAAAAAAGCACACGACCCTATTTCAAAATCCATTGTATGTGGACTGCTTAGATGTGAACGACCTCCATAAGAATCCATTTTGGCATCTTTGCACATACATGGAGAAAATTTTTGTGTGTGCAACTGTGCCAAAAGTACATGCCAAGTCCCAAAAGGTGAGCAGAGTCCTCGCAACATCTGCACACACATGGAAGGCATTTCACCCAGGCGAGAAGGGAAGAAGGAAGTGCTGCACTGCATAAAAAAAGTCAAAACCCTTAACAGAAAAAAAGTATCTAATCTGGAAGAGGGAGGGGGCTGGAGCCAGGACATTTTGTACCTTAATTCATTCAATGCATTAAAGTGTTTGTAAACCTCAGGCATGAAATATGAACAAAGCATATCACTCTATAGTGTGTACTTGTCTCAGTTAAGAGCAGAAATGTCATTTATGTCTGCTGCTTCATTCTGCTACTATCAACATGAGTCACTTCTGACAAGTTTTCACAGGGGAGGGACCTCCAGCAGATTGACAGCATCAGCTTTGTTCCTGTGAGCTGTGTGAATGGGGGGAAAGTCTCTTCCCTCCAATCAGCATTCAGAATTCTCATTGATCTCTGCAGTGTAACCTCAGGTCTCCACCCCCTCATTCTGAACTTTCAGACAAGCTTTATAAATTCAACACTTTGAATGGATGTAGAGAAGAGAAGACTGCAGATAAACCAGTACAACTTATGTAGGAGGATCTGTTTAATCTCTGTGTATCACCCAAGGCCAACCACTTTACTAGGTATATGTAAGGGTTAACAACCACTTTAAGCTAAAAAAAAAACCATCTGAGCACAGTCCCCCCCTCCTTATACTTACCCGAGCCTGACCCCTGATCCAGCACTGTGTCCAAGAGCAGCATTTCTGCTTGCTCTCTCTTTCTCTTTACTGGCTCAGAGGCAGCAGCGGGAGCCATTGGCTCCCACTGCTGCCAATCACAGCCAGTGAGGAGAGAGTAGGGTGCGGGTCCATGCTATGCTCTCTGTGTCTATGGACACACAGAGCATGACTGGGGATAGAGCCCACATGTGTGCCCCCATAGCAAGTGGCATGCAGTACATCTTGCACACTGCCTCCTGGTATGTGTCACACAGGGTTTTGTTGTGATGTACAGCTTATGGGACTTTTCTCTCCTCCTATTGACATTTGGAGCTGGGACAAGCTCAGTCTTTGCCTGTACTTCCAGTGGCTGATCACACTGTTGGAGCCTTGTGTGGCACCCGTAAATTTGGTATTGGTTAATAGCCATCCCAGGAGCCATTTGCAAGATATTGCACAAAGCAGAGATCTGCAGTGTGTCAGAGGATCTGATGACAGGAACTCACAACACTTCTGCACATGCTCTGGATCTCAATTAACGATGGCAGCACTGGAGAAGAGGAGCGTAAGGAGAATTTTTGCTTCAAGCAAGACAACACTGGACTCCATGGTCTAGAATAGTGGTCTCCAAACTGCTGCCTGTGGTCCGGATGTGGCCCTATGCTTGCCTATATCTGAAGCATTTATCCTCCCATTGACATCAACGATGGGACATCATTTCTGCTGCTGACATCAACCATAGGGCACTACCATTCCTATTGATACCAACAATCAGGAACCTTTCCTTCTACTGACACCAATGAGGAGGTACCAGGGATGGACTGACCATTTGGAAACTTGGGCACTGCCCGAAGGCCCGGGGTCAGTAGGGGGCCCCATGAGATGCCCCTGGTACCTTTTTCATAGGTTTTTTTTTGAGTTTGGGCAAGGACACAGGGGCCCCATGATCCCCTATTGCCCAGGGGCCCCATAAGTTGTCAGTCTGCCACTGGGAGGTACTATTCTTCCAACTGACACCAATGATGGGGAACAAAAGATGGGACATTCTTCACTCCCACTGGGCACAGTCTGGCCCCCCCTAAAGTCTGAAGGATGGTAAACTGGCCCTTTGTTTAGAAAGTTTGGAGACCCCTGATCTAGAGAGTATGTGCTTTTTGACTTCAAGACTGGTAAAATTGTTACAAAATTTTTTTTTGGGGGAGGCAGTAAAGTTTCTCTTTAGGAACAGTTAAATTGTTTTCTGGATAGCATCACCTGTTGTAGACTCATTTATTTCAAAATATTCTGGATTATACATGTGTGTCCGACATATGCACTTGTGTTGTTTTTGTAAAAAAAAAAAAAAAATCAGTGTACTCTATTTAGCACAATAAAGATGTTTAGGCTCAGAGATGCAGAATGTTGTTGACATTGTCACCCTTTGTTTGATGTGTGTGAGGACCGTTTGATCTCCTGAAAGTAGCAGACAGAACAAAGGACAAGAGACTGGATTAAAAACCAAGGATCAAGCCCGGCTGTCCTTTTCCTGAGAATGGCACACACGTCTGCTCCATGTCTAGCTTGTGCCACTGTGTGATGTTTGAGTGTGGCCATCCTTTGTTACCAGGCCTGGTGGAACATGTCAGGGTGATCAAGTGTTCACTGATAATCAGACCTGAGGCCATGACTTTTCAGATTGAAGCAGAGGAAAGATGACCACCCCGAGGGCACAAAAGGCTAGAATTACTAAACCAAAGAAACAGTGACTGGCACAAAGCTTACCAGGAGCATTCTGTTATTCATGGATTGCTTGCATCAAATCATTCTGCTTTGTTAACAGGCAGAACATGTATAGATCTATTTTATTAGGGTAGAAAACATTTGCAAAAAATACTTACTAACCTAGAAACCAAAAAAAGTTATAGACCCTCAAATGTAGACGCTCACTATACGCTGTGTCCTATTTTTTTTTTTCTTTTCTCTTGATCTAGCTCTTACAGTGCTGATCAGAAAATGGCTTTCTGTTGTGTCTAATAGCTTAGCCACAAGTATAGCCATTCAATGCTGCCTATTAGAAATCATTCTCACCATACATGTTACAACCTCATCATACAGTTTTTATCTAATCAACATGATATCTACCAAAACTGTCATATGAGAACCTAACTAAATGATCCAATCAATTTGTATCTTATCAGGACGTCCCCTGCTCTAAGCACCTGTTGGCAGATCTAAAGAAGATTGTACATCTGCATTGTAGCTTGTATGGTGAATGTTAGACTTTCAGCCATTATTGGTTAGAATAGGAGACCATCACTAACCCTAGGCAGGGGCGGACTGACCATTTGGGAACTCGGGCACTGCGCGAGGGCCCGGGGTCAGTAGGGGGCCCCATGAGATGCCCCTGGTACCTTTTTCATAGGCTTTTTTGTTTGGGCAAGGACACAGGGGCCCCATGATCCCCTATTGAGGGCCCAGGGTCAGTAGGGGGCCCTATGAGATGCTCCTGGTACCTTTTTCATAGGCTTTTTTGAGTTTGGACAAGGACACAGGGGCCCCATGATCCCCTATTGAGGGCCAGGGGTCAGTAGGGGGCCCCATGATCCCCTATTGCCCAGGGGCCCCATTAGTTGTCAGTCCGCCCCTGACCCTAGGTTCACATATATGCGGCCGTGCGGGCCGTGTTTTTCAGGAATAGAACTCCGGGCCCCGTGACACGCAGGAAAGAAGTCCCTGCACTTCTTCTGAAAACGCAGCCCACACCTGAACCTCAGTTTTCCAGTACGGGCAGCATTCCATTAGAACTAATGACACCCGCCTGCGGGTCCGCATTCCTCTGTGTGGGTGGTGTGGTTGCACGGATTTTCGTGCGGATCCGCAGCCGTACCACCCACATAGATGTGAACCTATCCTTAGGCAGGCCATACATTATACATTTTTTTTCCTCCAACCAGTGGGTTGAACAAACAAAATGTGCTCTATCCCCCTCCACACATTCAAGGTGGATGTGGGAATCACCCCTGCTGTGCTATTGTTTTCTGGGGAACTGATCGCTTGGGAAAAACCTGAGAGGGTTGTTTTACAGTGGTTGATCAATAGATCAACTTCTGTTCAAACAGTTGCCCAGACATGGATCAAAATTCGTCCAGTTCAGCAGTGACCAGAAAAATTTAGATCCATGTATGGCCGATGTTTCTGTCTTTGGGCACCTTTAAAGATACGTGCTCCTTGCCTACATGCAGCTGCAGGACAAGGAATGCCTCCACTGCCTATGATTGGCTGTCAGTTTTGACAGTTTCCTGGTGGGATAGTTTAGATTTGGGATAGGTTCGGATTCATGCCTGAGCTCACCCATACTTGCAGCAGTATAAGAAGCACCTTTTTAAAATGTTATTTTCTTCCTATGTTGTGCATGTGTAACTTTGGCAGGAATCTGACCACTTCCTGGAAGTGTCAAATCCTGTCTGTGTCGACTCCTTCTCCCACCTACTCCCCCTGCTGTAGGTAGGCAACAGGAGCCTGTACAACTATTTGTTAGTAAACCTTAAGTCAGTCATAGATGATGCCATTCTCTTTCCTGCAATCATGGGATGCAGTAAAGAAAATCGCTCAATTCCCCCATCAACACAGTCAACATTGATAGGGAAATCCATCCCGCTGAGCGATTATGTGCTCCCGGGGGGAGCTGTCCA